ATGGGGAGCTACTGAAGATACTTGAGCAGAGGAGCAACATGGCAGCAATGTGCAGAATCAATCAGAGAGAGGAGAGACTGGAAGCAGGGAGACCAATTATGATGCTATTATAGTAGTCCAGGGTAGAGATAATGAGGGCCTGAAATAGAGTGGTGGCTATATGAGTGGAGGAGAGGAGATGAACTTGAGAGATACTGTGGAGGTAGATTTGGCAAGACTTAGCAATTGACTGGATTTGGGGCATGAAGTAAAGGGAAGATTCAAGACCATTATGAACCTGAATGATGGGGAGGGAAACGGGGCTCTCCACAGAAAAGAAAAGGTTTGAAGAAGAAGCCTGGAGATAAAGAGGTCAAATGAATCCATTTTGGACAAGTTGGATTGGAGATACCTATGGGATATCCAGGAGGAGCTATGCAGCAGGCAGCTGGTGATGTACGATTGAAGCTCTGGAGTGAGACAAGGGTTATATATGTAGATGTGAAAGTCATCTGCAGAAATAGAATAGTTGATTCCAATGGGAAGAGATGAGATCTCTAAGAGAAAGAGTATGCACAGAAGAGAAGAAAGCTTGCTACAGAGCCTAGGGAGTACCCTTCGGTATTAAGGGGCAGAATATAAATGATAATCCAGCAAAGGAGTCTGGAGAATAGTCAAACATAGAAGGGAAATCAAGAGACAGTGGCATCTCAAAATCCCAGAGTACAGATCCCAGTGTCAGATGTTTCTGGGAGATCAAGAAGAATGAGGGCAGAGAAAAGGCCGTTAGATTTGGCAATTAAGAGATTAATGTTAGTTAACCTTGGGAAAAGTAGCCTAATGAATGATGGGATCAGAAGTCAGATTGAAAAGGGATCAGAAATGAGTGGAAGGTGAAGATGTGGAGTCAACAGATATAGGTCTAGTTCTAGTTTGGCAATAAAAGAAAGAAAAAGATAAAGGACAATAGCTTGAGGGGAAGATGGGGTCAAATAAGGGTTTTCAAAGGATGAGAGAGTCCTGAGTATATTTGTAGGCTGAAGGGAGAGATACATTCAAATGACCCAAGAAGCAAGCACCTGAAGGAGTTGGGAGAAGATTGGATGGAGAGCAAAGGTAGAGGGGTTGGCCTTGGCAAGGGGAAGGGCCACTTCGTCCTCAGAGATGGAAACACAGGATAGAGTTTTGATGGGCAAAATGAAGAAAAATAATCTTGTAATAAATGGTCTCTATTTTTTTTTCCAACATAAAGTAGTAGACAAGGACATCTGTTGAGAAAGAAGAAGGAAAAGGCAATGGAGGGGCTTGAAAAGAGATGAAAAAATTTGGAAGAGTACCTGAGGACCATGAGCTAGAGAGAGCAAGTCGTATGTTGACTCTTCCCATCCTGTAGGAGGAAAAAAGTTAAAAAAAAGGGCTAGTGGCTATGGTAGCACCTTATTAGGTGGGAAAAAATGATAAACTCTACTCCTTCACTCATTAATGATAAAGTGACTAAGTCTCTATATGGACTTCCAAAAGATAGGATATGAACAAGCCTTTATTGCTATACCAGCACTTCAAGAGTTTCCTAAGATACTTGCCAAGTATACATTTGGCCTGACCCAATATCCCAAATCTAAAGAGTATGGAAAGGTCCATAAAGCACATTTGCCCACCCACAGGGATAATCAGTACTTTCTGTACCTGCTAGGGGGCATGACCAGAATAGCTACTTGGAGTCCAGTATCTGTGCAGGTGACCAGATGGCGTTCCAAGCTTGAGCTGTTCCAGCTCACTCACATCACACAGGTGTGAGAAACTCCTAGGTTCTAATCTTGAGTAATTTGCTCACTACCAAATGAGCATGCTCACTCCACACACACCTTATCCCCACTCCTAGTTAACCTTCCAAGGCTTTCTATACTGGGATATAAATAATTAGAAGAACTCAGAAATTGTTCAAATGAGTAGCCCCCATTCTCACTAGATTTCAGTCAGGTTACCAGTGTGACCTGTAAGAATGAGTCATTCACATATAGATTAAAAAATGTTTCCTGAATGAAAGTAAAAATGAAAGATCCAGTATTCAAATCTCCACATTCTTGAGTAAAACCGTAACCTCTTAGGTAAGCCCATAAGTCATTAAAAGTGGCAGGTGGGGGGAAGGTTAAGCAAATTGTGGTATATGGATAGAATGGAATATTAGTATGCCATAAAAAGTGAAAAAAAAATCAGAGAAGTATGGGGAAAATATAATAACTGATGCGGAGTGAAGTAAAGAAAACAACACAGTAAAACTATATACAAAATGACTGCCACATTGTAAATAAAAAGAATTGTTGTTGGGGTTTTTTTAATACTATAATGCTGTGATGAAACACTGTCTCTTCCTCCCTTCTTTGCGGAGATAGAGGTCTATAGATGTCAAATATTTCTATAGATTGATGTGTAGCTTAATTTTGTTGAACTGGTTTTTTCTTTTTTATTCTTTGTTGAAAGGAATAGCTGACCAGATAGAGGAGGAAAGGATACATTCAGAAATAAAGGTGATACAAAAATAAATGATATGAAGAAAAATTGAAAATAAGAAAAAAAAATTTGTGTGAATCCTGGGTCAGAAGTGACCTGGCTAAGGATTGGATCATGAATACCTCAACCATACTTTTTCTCTCTATAACTATCCATGACCCAGGTATATTCCGACACCTGCATTGATCATCATGTAAGACAGGGGACTATTTATCTGCCTTGCTACTGTGGGCAGATCTCCCTCCCCCACTTTTTACTTCTTGTTCTGGGATTGTAATCAAGTCAACATTAACTTTGGACTATGAAGGGCAAGACAATCTACTACACTATTAATCAACTCAATCCCTCTGATTTTAAGTGACAGGCAGCCTATGTAGAAGCTCCCTTCCTGGATCACCACTCTTTAGTCCCTCACACCTATTTATGTCAGCCCTATCCCTTCCATGTTTCTACCCCACATTACCAATTCTACCCTCTGGAATTCCTCCAGTGAAGAGCTATATCTATGAAGAACTTCATGATGATTCAACAAAGACAGAAAATGACTCCCAGGGACCAGGAGCTGCTTACTGTTTTGCCACATACGTTCTTTCTATGTGTTTCCCTACACTACTATTTTAAGTTTGAGCCCACATATGTTGTGTTACCAAGGGGAGAATGTGCTCCTACTTTAGATAATTGTTATTTCCCCCACTAACTATCCTTGCTATACTTGCACAGTAAATGTCCTTTCTAAAAGCTAATTAAGCAGGGCTGATAATCAATGGGAAGTATACTGTTGGGGGTACTAGAAAAACCCAGTCTCTGAGGGTTACCCCTAGAATATTGAGGAAAGTAGTTGTCAGTTACCCTCTGGGGACCAGCCAATTCAAGTGGGAGCTGAGAAAGTAAGTAATCCAAAGGTAGTGCATTTATTTTATATTTCATTTTCTCTGTACATGTTATTGCCTCTGAAAAGAATATAACCTCCTTAAAGACAGAGTGTGTTACTCAATTGGGTATGGAAATCTATCTTACCCTACAGGAAAATGGGGGGGGGGACAAGAGAGCAGGGGGATAATAGAGGGGAGGGCAGATTGGCAGAGGGGGTAATCAGAAGCAAATACTTCTGAGGAGGGACAGGGTCAAAAGAAAGAATAGAATAAATAGGGGGGAGAATAGGATTAAGGGAAATAGAGCTAGTTTTTCACAACATGACTACTATGGAAGTGTTTTGCATAACTGCACATGTATAACCTGTACTGAGTTGCTTGCCTTTTCAATGAGGGTGGGTGGGGAGGGAGGAAGGGAGAAAATTTGGAACCCAAAGTTTTAAAAACACATGTTTAAAAAAAATGTTTTCACATGCAATTGGGAAATAAGAAATATAGGAAATGGAGTCCAGAAATCTATCCTGCCCTACAGGAAAATAGAAGGGGAAGGGGAGAAGACAAGGGGGAGAGAGACAGAAGGAAGGACAGACTAGGAGAAGGGGTATGCAGAATGCATGCCATCTTGGGGTGGGGGAAGGGGCGAGATGGGGTGAAAATTTCGAACTCAAAATCTTATGGAAGTGAATGTTGAAAAATAAAAATAAATAAATTAAAAAAAAAAAAGACAGGGTATGTTTTCTTGTCTATATCTCCAGTCCCCAGCACAGTGTCTGGTATATAGCAGATGTTTAAGAAAATGCTTGTTGGTAGTAAACTGAATACTTTTTAGAGAGGTAGTTGATAAACCGAAGAGGAGGAGGATCAAGGTTGTAGGGGGTGGAGGGTGGGGGGATGGGAGGAGGTAATTCATGGTATTTAGAGCCGGAAGAGATCTTGGATAAAAAAATAGAGTCCATGCTATATGAAGACTGGTCAATGGAACTGGAGATGTTTTGTCTGAAGAAAAGAAGTTTTAGGGATGGTATCTGCTGATAACTTTCTTCAAATATCCAAAGGGGATCATACATATGGAAAATGCTCTGCTTAGCCCCAAAGGAGAGATGGGTTAAAGTTACTGAGAAGCAGCTTTGGGGAAAAAATTCTTAATAATTTGAGCCATCCGGGCTCGATGACCTTTTTAAAGAGGAGTTTTCTACTCAGATAAAGGTTGGTCTAGAAGACCTTGGGGATCCTTCCAACTTAAGGCTTCTGATCGTTTTGGTAAGGGGCTTTTCCTCCGACTTGAGATGAGGTTCAGGATATTCGGTTCGCGGTCAGTTTCCCAGTTCCCCACCCCGCCCTCATTTCAGGGACCCCATCTGTCCCATTGAGGTTTAATTCCACTCAAATTCAGGGGCTGGGCAGGGCTAGGAAGACTCCCAAGTCTAGCCTTCGGCTCTGACAATCCTCACCCCTCTGAGGCACCGCCCTTTTCTGAGAAACTGAAAGTGGGCGGAAAAGCGGGGGGGGGGGGGGGGGGGGGGGTTGTGGGGGGGGGGGGAAAACGGCGGGGGCCTGGCCAGCCCCCCCCCCCCGCCGGGGTTCAACCTCGATGGGGGGGAGGGGGGGGGGGGAGGGAGGGGGGGGGGGGGGGGGGGGTGCTGTTTGTTCTGGGTAGAGACAAAAGACGTGGAAAGAGTTGAGAAACCCCAGTGCCCTGTCTACTGGGGGCCTGTAAGGTGAGACCTTCGGGAGCCGCGGGAACAAGGATGGCTGAAGCTGCGTTCTCCGGCGTGAAGGTGAGAGGACAGGCGCCAGGAGCCAGAATGCGCCGCGCGAGGAGCCCAACTGTGCCTCCCCCCCAACTCCAGGCTTGGCCTGACGGGAAGGAGAAACCCATGGAGACCAAGATTGTCTGGGACCGGGACCGGGAGGGGACCCCACCCCCCAATTCCTCCCTGATCCCTTTCCTGCAGCTTGGGGAGGTGGCGAATCGGCAGGTACAAGCCCGGGAACCAACCCTGCTGCCCGCTAGGGCGCTCCGTCTGAGGGCTTCTCACCTGCCTTGCAGTTTAGACCCTTTCTAACCGGAACTTTGGCCTTTTCCAAGAAACGCTGTCAGGTCAAGGGCCAGGGGCACCGCTGACAGATGTCCCTACCTCTCTGCAGCCTTTTCGCCTCCCCCAACCAAACATAATGGAAGCGAGAGAGGATGAAAGGAAGGAAAACCGGCGCAAGATACATATGTGACCTCTCCCCCTCAGACCCTGACAAGGACCTGGCCTGTGTGCCCATTTCATAGCTTAGGCAACTGATACCCAAGGCGGAATGGATTTACTACTGCCTTGGCTCAGATACTGTCCAATGCTAGCCTTCAGGTTTCTCAAGGTTTTCAGCAATGGTACTAATGATGTTTCTGTGTCTCCTCAACCTCTTAACAGCTGGAGAAGAGTGTCAGGCGCCTCAGGGAGACGTTTCATGGCCGTTTGTCTGTGGAGAAGGCAAATGTCTTAATGGAGAAATACAACCACGACCATGAGCTCGTCTCTTCCTGGCTGATTGAACAAATGAATGGTCAGCACGAAACATTGCGGGGGGGGGGGGGGGGGGGGGGGGGGGGGGCGGTGTAGGGGAAGCTCTGAAGGGTTCAGAAGGGGTTCCAGGGCTTTGTTGGGTACTAGGAGTCCCCAGAGGTACTGGGAAGGGACCTGGATGCCCAGGAAGATCATGGAAGGGGTGTCCCAGGGAGTTCTAGTATCCAGAATGGTCAGTGGCACCAGAGACCCCTGTGGGATAGATGACTATTTAAAGGTCCTTGGTCCTAGCATATCCTGTGACAGCCCCTATGCTCTCTAAACTTGTTTTCGGAAGAGTTCAGATCAGAAAAAGAAGATGTGCACCAAGCAGACCCAACCGTCCAGGTAATTTCCTTCCTCCATGAGCCCCATAGTTGCAAGGAGATCCAACAGTCCCCAACCTGGGGGAGATAGAGGGCACACGACCCAGGTTCCTGGGCTCAGGGAGCCTCTGAACTAAGGGAAGAGACATAACTTAGGGGGCCTCTTTCCCAGTGCCTCACGTTCTCTTCTCCCCAGGACCCCCACGATCGCTTTTGCCCAGCCCTACATGCATTTCTCTACTTTCCTCTCCCCGGGATAGGATCCAGGCTGGCCCAGGAGACAGTGCCATGGGAGGAATTGGGGGGCGGGGCATGAGTAGTCTTGGGATCTTCAGGAAGGGTCTGAACTGTGAGCTGAGGCCTCCTCCCTGGCCAGTCCTTTATCCTTGCTTCAAAGTTTGCTTCTTTGCTAAGTGAAGAATTCCAGGAGTGAGGGTACAGGGGCACCTGGACACCTGAAAGATCAATGCAGACCCCAGCCCAGACTCCTGTCTCTATCTCCCCACTCCTGCCTAGGATCGACAAAATGTCTTGAAGGACAGAGACATTGAGGTGCGAGGGGAGCAGGGGTAAGGGTGAGGACATCCATTGGCTCCATGCTGGAGGCTGAGGTGCCCTGATCCTATCCCCCCCAACTTCCCACTCAGGAGGTGGCTGCCACCATAAGCTTACCCCTGACAGAGGAAAATCTGCGCATGCTGGATGATGCCCAGAAAGGCTGTATTGCCAAGGAAGACTGCCAGTTTGCCTGCAGTACCTGTAATAACGTGTGGTGGCGCCGGGTACCCATGCGCAAAAAGGTGAAGGGGCCAGGGCTAGGACTGAGGCTGGGCCCCATGGAGTCCCTGGGTGCAGGCCTGACTCTGCTCACACCGAGCTTTTCAGGTGTCCCGGTGCCGGAAGTGCAAAGTGAAATATGATCCAGTGCCCAAAGATAAGATGTGGGGTGACGCCAAGTTTCAGTGTTTACAGTGTGGCCATACCTTCATGTGAGTTCTCAGATTCCTGTCCCCTGACCCTTGTCCCCAGTCCTCATGAAAGTCAATGCCATAGAAGGATCACTAAGTTTGGAGCTAGAGAATCAGGGTTAGAATCCCAGCTCCTAGCTTGGGCAAGACATTTCCACACTTTAGGCCTCAGTTTCCCGATCTGTAAAAAGAGACGTCTAGCTGCAGATGATCTCCAAGGGTTCTTTAAACCTCCCACATCAACCCCTAGCCTCTTTCTTTCAGTCTTACTTTCTGAGTCCCCAACCCTTGATCTCTGACTCACACTTCCTCCTTGGCCTACCACCTGCCCCAACCATTCTTGCTTTCTCCCCAGAGGTTTTGCCCAGATGGGAACTCCATCTCTGTGCTACCACTGCGGCAACTCTGTCCTGCCAAATCGGATCCTCCCCCCACGCCGAACCCAGAATGAGAGAGGCAGAAAAAACACACACAGCTGCTTTGCTGAGGACTGCTACAACAGACAAGGTCAAACCCCAAGTCCATCTATCCCTTTCTTCTCCTTGCCCCACTTCTCCCTAGCCCCAATACAGCTGACACCTACCACCCCTTTAGCCTGCTCCCCTGGGGCCAGTCTCTGGCTGAGCACAGAGAGGCCTCAAGACCTCAAAATGGCTCAGGACAGAAAAGGCTCAAGTCCTACATTTGCCCCCCCAGGATCCTCCATACCAGGGACCTTCTGTGTGCACCCCAAGAGCCGGAAACAGAAAAATATGTCTGTTGTCTTGTGGCCAAGTGCTGTCCATGAGAGCAGTGGGTCCACCGTGGCCACCTGCCTTAGCCAGGGCAGCCTCATGGAAGACCTGGACAACTTAATCCTAGAGGACCTCAAAGAGGAAGCAGAGGAAGAGGAAGGCAACTAGGAGCTTTTGATTGCTCTTTCCACCCCAATATCCCCTACAGACCTGGAGGACCAGTGTTGACCTACGGGACCAGTCAAAGTTGCGGGTGGGTCCTCAGCAGTGGTTTGAGGAAAAGCTGACAGGTCACTCAGGGGAAAGCCTCTAGTTCCTGAGGCCTCTCTCTCTGATTTAAGAAAGTCCATACGTGTGCACTTTAGCATAGTGGAAGTGGGTAATGAGCTCCTAACCCCCTCCATGTGGGAGATACCATGGCCCCCATACCCACATGCCATATACATAGACATACATTACGATGCTAATATTTTATATGCCATGTTCAAAATAACAAAAGGATGTGCCCTATTCCTGAATGGCAGTATCTCATTCCTATAGGGCTAAGGGTTAGGGGGTGGTGGTGGTATGGGCTTGATGGGGTGTGATTTGTGACACGAGGGGTGCTTTTACAATGCCCTGGGCTTTGTAGATCCCTGACTCATGCAAACTCTAGGACACGATGCCAGGCAATCCAAGATGGTCAAATATATCTCTCCTCGCTAAGATCCAAAGGGTGGAGGTCAGAAGTCAGAGGGGCCGAATCAGCATAGCCACTTTCTTGAGTGAATATGCACCACCCCTAAATTCAGCCCAGTAGACACCATCTTGATAACGGCTTCGATAATGGCCCCCTAGGTGCCAGATACCATTGAGGTTGGAATGGGCACAGGCATGGTACCACCAGCCACCCCGCTGATACAGAGCACAGTTACCTAGGGAAGAAACAAAAGAGAAGAGGTTAAGGGCTACACAACCCATCACTAACATCCACACCCCCCAGGTTCATCTGCCTCTGAGAAAGGGAGATAGGTTGTACTGAGCAAAGCAGTGATCCCCAAGATTCTGACTCTGAAGCAGCAATCCTGGGTACCTCCCCTCCCTTCCAACTGTCCCACTCTTGACAGGGTAGGATCCTGATCCCTGAATGTCTTCTTTCTCCATCCCCTTCCCCCTTATTGGAATAAGAGCCCCAGTCCCCAGGCTCTGCTCCACACACACACACACACACACACACACACACACACACACACACACACACACACACACACACCCCTAGGCCTTGTCTTCCCTCACAGAATGTGGATAGAAATTTAAAGGACTAAAATCCAATCCATAGCTGTCCAAGAATACCCTCTACACACAACATCATGAGCAAGGGGTCATTGATCTTTCACTTCAAGATAAGTGAGAGGGAATCCACTACCTTCCATGGCCCACCTCCCTTGTGGACAGCTCTAAGTGATAGGAAGTTTTGGGGGTTTTTTTCCTGACATCAAGCCAAACCCTGTCTCTCTGCATCTTCTATCTAAGCAGAACAAGACTAATCTGTCCTTCTTCCTCATGACAGGACCACACAGCTAGGAAGTGTCTGAGATCAGATTTGAACTTACTTCTTCCTGACTCAAGGCCCAGACTCCTAGCGGCTCTACTATCCACTCCTATCCACTTGCTATCCTTCAAATACTGAAGGGCAGAGATCTTTGACCTTCTAAGTCTTCCCTTCTCCAAACCAAATACCCATTTCCTTCCATGGTTTTCATATGGAATCCCTCCCAATCCCCTTCCCTTCCTGGTCAAAGTCCTCGGCATTCACTAGTTTGTCCCAAAGTCCTTCCTAAAACATGGTGGCCTGAACTGAAAACAACACAGATAAAGTGGGCAGTGATTGTCACTTCCCTCATTTCCACCCTTAGCGCTGCCTCATTAATGCAGCTTAAGATCAAAAAGGGACCTCAAAGGTTATTTAGTCCAACCCCCTCAACTCAACCTCCCCCAACAGGAGGAAATGTGTTCAAGTCTTTGGCTGCTAAATTATCACACTGTTGATTCACATCGAGCTTCTGGTCCGCTAAAATTTGTCTCTCTCCCCATCCTAGACCTGTGAAGTTGATTTTTTGAATCTCACATGAAGACTTTACATTTATCCCTATTAGATTTAATAAGATGAACATATCATTCTGTCTGTGATTTGTCTGAGCTATCCCTCCCAGCTTTGAGTCAACTGTGAATTTGATAAAGATTCTCCCCAACACTTTCATCTAAGTCAGGGCTGTACAACCTGTGGTATGCCAAAGGATTTCATCTACATACAAAGGATGTTTTCCTCTACATTTTTCGTGGCTGCCCAAAGTCCTTTGGCTTGCCACAAGCAGCCCAAGGGCCATAAGTGGACTGAGGGCCACAGGTTGTGCAGGCCTAATCTAAGCCATTGATAACAGTGTTGAACAGTTCTGAGATAAGGACAGATCCCTGGGACCCTCAGCTAAAGACACCTGGTCTCCAGGTTGACATGGAAATAGCATTATTTAAAACTCTGGATCGGGTTATCCAGCCCTCTACAAATCCACCTATCTGTACCATCTTCTACTATTTCACACCTTCCTATATTTCTTTTTGAGTGTGTATGTGTCTGTACGACTGTCTAAGAAATTGTGATTGTCAGTGAGTCTGAGTGCACAGCCCTGTGAACAGGGAAGTCTGCATCTTTGGGTCTATGTCCTTGTGACCCTGAGTCTGTGTCAGTTATTCTGTGGGTCCGAGTATGAGACTTCATGTCGTTGAGACCACCTGAGGGTCAGTCTTGATCTCCATTTTAGACAGGGAGTATGAATCCTCTCCTTGCCTGGGGCAGAGGTGATTTCACCATCCTACTCCCCTTTCCTATATCCACAGGCAGTGGTGGTGGACAGCTACTGAAAACAAGTGACAAAAGTGGAGGGAAGTGACTTTAGGTCCTTGAAGCAATAAGGGGGCCTCTCAGAGATCTCCAGCGGTCTGCCTGTTCTGTTCTGTTCTGTTGGGCAAGGAGGAGGGCACAAGGGAGAGAGAGAAATTCTAGCAACCTGGGTCAGGTTGTTCCTTCTGACTTCAACCACTTCCTGGCTTTCTCTGGCTAATATCCTGAAATGGGCTCCAGCGAGAGAGTCGGTCTGGGACTGCTCAAGATCTGACATCCTGTGTGATGGCCCCTGTGTGATCTCCACCACCACATAGTCATGGCTGAACCCTAAACCCCTCCACTCCCAGGACACCAGCCACAGCCTTCCCAGAGGTTGTGACTTACCCAGGGCCATGCAGCTGGTAAATATCTGAGGCTGGATTTGAACTCAGGTGTTCCTGAAGCCAGGTCTAGCACTCTATCCACTGTACCACCTAGCTGCCTCTTTCTAGATTCCTTGAAACCCAGATGAATCATCAGAAGTAACAATCATCAGATTTGACAATCATCATGTAGACAGCAGCCCTCTCTGTTTGTTGACATCAGACCAACAAACAGCCTTCCTGGTGCCCCTCATTGGAGATTCCCTGACCATCTCATCTCCATGCCTACTGGATGACTTGGTCCTGTTGGCTTCTGTGAATCTAGAGTCACTCTTTAGAGCCCAAGCACTTGCTTCCCCCTCAAAGGTCCATTTTTTCCCTGTCTATGTAAAGAACCCCATATTTGTTACTTAGCCTCAAGTATTCAATGGTCTACCTTCCCTTTCTCTTCTGTGCCCCATTCTTCATTCTTCAACCTATTGCCATGGATTAGGTTTCCCTTCTGCCTCTTTGGCAATTTTTTCTTCTTTGTTTTTACCTGGAAGCCCTTCTTCTCTCTTTTCCCCCCAAGGGACATTCTTGTTAAATGAATGGGAAAATATTTCTTGAGCCCTTTTCCCTTGTCTTTTAGGAGAGAAAACACATTGCACTTAAGTATAGCTAACAGTTATTTCATTGAGCTCTCCAGCTCCCTCTTCTCTCCTCATCTCACATCACCTAGCTACCTTGTGCTACTCTCTCCTTCACCTCTTGTCTTACATAATGAAGTGGCCCTCCTTCTTGCCAAGGTGAACTCCTCTACATGCACAAGTGATCTCATTCCATCCCATCTCCTCCAGTAGCCTGCCTCCTCTGTTAGTGCCCTTTTTTTTTTCCCAGGCAAAGTGGGGTTAAGTGACTTGCCCAGGGTCACACAGCTAGCTAATAAGTGTCTGAGGCCAGATTTGAACTCAGGTCCTCCTGACTCCAGGGCCAGTGCTCTATCCACTATGCCATCTAGCTGCCCCTGCCCATTAGCTCCCTTTTCTCACTAATCTCTTTCTCCATATCCACTGGCTGCTTGTCTACTGCCTATACACTTGCCTATCTCTTCCCCATTCTTGAAAAACTCTCACTTGATCCATCCCTTCCTGCTAGCTAACATCCCACATCCCTTCCCCCTTAAGAAGGCCATCTCCAATCAGTACTACCATTTCCTTTCCTCTCACTCTCTTCTTAACTCTGTCTGGTTTCTAATCTCATTCAGCTGAAGCTGCTTTCTCCAAAGGTACTAATGATCCCTCAATTACCAAATCTAATGGTCTTTTCTCAGTCTTCATCCTTGACCTCTCTGCAGCCTTTGACACTGTCAATCATTCTTTTCTCTTCTGTCCAGCTTTCAGTGGAGCCTCCTCCTCCTTATTTGACTACTCCTTGGTCTCCTTTGCTGAATCTTCATCCAGGTCACACCCACCACTGATGGATGTCCCATACTGTGGGTGTCACACTGAATGGACTGGATCCTTTTCTTCCTCCATATTATTTCACAGGGTGATCATCAGCTCCCATGGATTCAATTATCATCTCTATGCTGATGCTTATCAGGTGTATTTATTCAGCTCTAACCTCTCTGCTGACCTCCAGTATTGTTTATTGGACATCTCAAACTGGATGTTCCGTAGACACTGTACACTGAACATGTCCAAAACTGACCTCATTATCTTTCCTCCCAAACCCTTCTCTCTTCCTAACTTCCCTACTACTATTGAGGGTAACACCATCCTCCCAGTCACCCAGGCTCACAACCTAGGTTTCATACTTGACTCCTCAGTGTCACTCACCCTCCCATATCCCATCTATTGCCAAGGCCTATTGATCTTACCTCATAATATCTCTCAAATGTGTCCCCTTTTCTCCTCTGATACTGTCATCACACTCATACAAGCCCTCATCACCCCACACTTGGACTATTACAATAGCAAGCTGGTTGGTCTCCCTGCCATAAGTCTTCTGCCCACTTTCATCAATCCTCCACTCAGCTACCAAAGTGATTTTTTTTGGGTGGGGGGGAGAGGCAGGATTGTGACTTGCCCAGGGTCACATAGCTAGTAAGTGTCAAGTGTCTGATGCCGGATTTGAACTCAGGTCCTCCTGACTCCAGGGCTGGTGCTTTGTCTGTTGTGCTATCTAGCTGCCCCTCAAAGTGATTTTCTTAAGTTGAAGGTCTGACCACGTCACATACCACCCCCCACCCAACTCAATAAACTCCAGTGACTCCTTATCACCAT